CAAAGAGGGAGAGGAACACTGATTTGCTCTTTTCTTCAGATTTCTTTCTCTTTTGGCCTAGCTCTGTACACATGAAAGGCTGTTCTCAAGTAACTATTTCCAGAGACACTCCAAAACTTTTCAGATTACATGTCAGATTTTAGTGATATAATGCTCTCTGTGATCATTATATGCATAACAAAATCTAGGAAGAACAGCAGTACTTTGGTTCCTAGCACAGAAAACACTCAAAATCAATTTGAAGGCATTTGGTTAGTCCTTTTTTAAGTCAATGTGAGCAGTAACATGCTAAAAACTAAGTACCATCTTAGGGTACTCAGGTTATGAAAGAATGAAATTGAGGACTCTAAATCTGCCTAGAATCACTTCTAGTGGGGGAAAAGGTTAGACATTAGAATTATGGTGCAGTTAAGTGAAGAAAAAACCCTCAGTTGTACATAAGCTCCTCTGTACCATTCAGTTTTCCTCCCACATGTAATGAATAAAAAATTTTTCAAGTTAAGAATTATGCTTAAAAAAATCTAAAATCAAATTAATGGAGGGCTAAAAAGAAAATGAGGTACTTAAAACTATGGAGATTAGTTGTTCTGTATAAAGAGAAATATGGCATAAAGTGCACTGTAAATTTAAATATCATTAGTCTAGGCCAATTAGAATTTTAGACTACGCTTCATAAAAATTTATTACTCAACTCTATCTATTTTTACTATATAAATTAAAATACCTTTCAGGAGTATAGGCTGTGTCATCGTAATATGAATTAGGCACTCTTCTCTCCTGCCTAGTCCTCCTGAATATGGAATAAATAGCACAGATATTTCAGACATTTTAGAGGGTGCTTTTTTCATTATGTATTCCCTTACTGTATTATTAAAATGTAATGAAGATAGAACACATTTATCTTCAATTCAGCCATATACTCTGAGCATATCTTTCTAATATATACATATATACATATATATATATAAAAAACTTTTAACTTCTGCTTTCAAATTCTATTCAGAAATAATTAACAACTTATTAAGAATGCTTGATCAATGCACACATATTTCATAGAAATAAAAAGTTACACTGACAGAAAACTAGTAGTTGAACAACTGAGAATGTTCACCAAAAGTAGGATTTGGATGTTAGAAAATGTCTGCTGGATAAAACAACAGTCAGGAAAGAAAATGGAAGCAAAATCTAATTTCCTTAAGTGAAACAACAGAAATTCTGCCTGAAAGAAACTTCATATCCTGCACAAAACATACACAAACCAGGTTTTATGGACTTAAAAATACTAAACTCAAAGGCTAAGTGATAAAAATAAATTGCACATAGTGTGGTGTTCTTGCTGATTAAGTTGAGCTCTGAGGTAGGTAAGTTGAGAAAGAATTTCGTGCAGTGACGTTGTCAGCATAATTTTATTTGGAATGAACTGCTAGTATTTTTTTTAAACATAAGGACAAGGTTAAGAACAAGAACCTTGAGAACATTACTTTGTCTTTGAGATCATGTGTGTGTCAGACAATTTAAAATGTGTTACTGTCAAGTTATGAATTAGCACATATCACTAGTAGGATTCTGAAGCAGGGGACAAAAATAGAAGTGTAAGCAAAGCTCAGCATGTCCAGCCATGATGTCCTGTGTGCACTCAGTGTGTGCAGCTGGGTGAACTGGGACCAGCTGGAGCTGCTGTGCTCTGTAACTTGGGAAAGCCCAAGGGAGCTCAGGGTGTGGTACAGAGCAGCAGGATCTTGAGAAAACCCCAGGTCCCAAGGGCTCTGAAGTCACTGAGGATGCACAGGTGCTTATTGACTTTCTCAGGCATATGATGGAGTGAATTTCTTGTCAATGCTGCTGTTCCTTTTGGGGGGAGTTGGACTTCTTCAAAAGGGGGGAGCTATCAGAAAAACAAAATTATGAATGCCATAACCTAAGAATGACCTCAGAAATTAAGGGTTTTTTTATAATGTAAATGTGTCCTAGAACTAATGAACTGAAATCTATCAGATCAGATAAACAATAACTGACACAAACTTCAGCAGAGAAAAGATGAAAGGGAACCAAGGAGCCACTCTCTGGGGAAAAATAAAAAGAAAAAATGCTAAAAGATACCACAAGAGTTAACGAGGTGTCTGTGAATGACTACAAGATAAGCAATAAAAGAAGCCATGAATAACAGAGGCAAGTAATTTTGACAAATATGTCTATATGATTTATTTACCTGCAGGACACAGACACTGATGGTTTCAGAGTGACATGAGATTAAAAACTCTCTGTCCCACATGAGAGACTCTTTCCTAAGTGCTGGACTGTACAGAGCAATATTTGCTATTTTGAGCAATAATGGAAAGTTGTTTCATATGCATGATAAAATGAAAGTGTAGACAGGAAGAGATGAGTTTTCTTGATATCAACAAGACATTGATTAATAAAATGGAGCAAAGACAGGAATAACACCTTGGCCTACAAAATAATGTATTTTAAAATAAGCATTGAACTGGGGAAAAGTGTAAAGAGGAAATATTGGTTAAAAAGTAATTTTTCATATATTTACAATAAAAATGAGGAATAGAGAATTACTAATTGTGTTTCAGTGTGTAAGGAGAAACTGGGTAATGATTATGCTATAAATGGTTCTCAACTTGCTGTTAGAACACAGGAAGACAAAAAGGATGAAAAAGTAGGAACTAGAATTGTGGCTGTGAGGTACTCAGAGGAGTTCATATCTGGTAGGAGAACTCAAGTAACTTGAACATCAGTGTTACCCACAGGAGTGTGGATTCAAGAGGACCGTAGAATCCAGGATCAGTTTCTAGGCCCATGGAATCTCAAGATAATGTTCTAACAGTGAGCTAGAAATATTCCACTTCACATTGGATTTTAATTTCTAATCCTAGGTGGAATTAGCTTTAATAGCTTTCTGTTCCATAAAGCCCTGGAAAAGATTTCCCCACTGCTTAAATCCTAGCCTTTTCATCTTTATGAAGTACTGTAACTTTTTCCCTTAATTCTCATTGATTTTACTTTATTTTTGAGAGACTAATTTCAGAAGCACAAGTCAAGAACCTCAAAGTAAGAAAATTTATGAATAGCTCCAACTTTCACTGATATCTGAACAGGCACAGATATAACCAGTAATCCGAAACACGTTCATATAAACTAGTGCAAATCAGAGTATATATCTAAGGCCAAAAAAAAGTATGTAAAAATTAATTATTGAAATAGCATACAAATGAGCACATTTCATCATGCATTTTAAGAAAACAAACAAAAAATCCCTCTCCTTAACAAAGTTTCTACATATGGACAGAGCTATTTATACACTTCCTTTATACTAGGTCTCATGTAAAATGGTATCATTTCAAAATAAATGCTTGACTCAGTTATAAATGGTAAAATGTCTAATATACTATAGCTTTGCAGAACTTTTAAAAAGCAATATTTCTTTTGAAGGATTTTTCAGATGCCTTTTTGTTTCTGCATCCAAAAGTAATTTTACATTCACTTAAAAATATGGTGACATATGATCTGAATCCATAGCAAGCGTTAATGAACTTCTCAGACTCATATCCACAGGGCAGCCATGAAGTTCATACATAAACAGTTCTTTGCTTATTGCTTTAGAAATTTTTACATGGCCTCCCTTGTAAAGCAATACCTCTATCAACAATTGTATCTGATCTGAAGTCACCCCTTCCTTTTTATTGGCTCACAGTTTTTTGTTTGATATTCTTATTTCTATTTACATACAACTATGTAAAATTTTTCTGTTTTCAATATTTCTGAATATATCTTAATTACAGCACTTCAGCAGCATCTCTTAAAAGCCACTGTATTTCAAGTGGCAAAATATTTCCCAGAAATTGTTATGGGCTCAAATTCTTTCTCCATATATTACATGTGTAAATAGGAACTAGATGTTCTGCAATCACACACAGGTATTGTGTGTCCATACAAGTATTCCTAAATCACAGAATATGCAGCATACAAATATATAAAACATAAGCTTACATAAGCATACATTTTTACTTTTCACTCTATTTTTTCAGTTACTCAAAGTATAAGACTTCAGAAAATCACTCTTTATTTGTACTTTAAAGTAGATAGGCTTTTCCCTGTTATTTCAAAGAGAATAATAAATGCTACAAGCACTCTGGAAAATTCCAGCAAAAATAAGGGTTATAAAAGACACAGACAAATAATATCCATATAACCTATTTTAAAACTGGCTTCTACAAAGCTATTCAGCACCTCTTGGGATTTACCCATGGCCTCGAGTAGTCAGTTTTAAGATGCATACATACCCAGAGTATTATAAAACATATTCAGTGTACGTGTTTATCTCTTAAAACACAGATCACATTCTCTGTTTGGAAATCAAACATGTCAGTGTCAGTGGGGCAGAGCTAATGGCACACTCCACATCAGTTATACCTCTCAAGATCATAGTAAGCACCCTCAGAATAGGTACGGCACATCGTACGGGAGCGGAGTAATCTGATTGCATCTTCACAAAATAGAGGATACATTGTGTGATCCTGGCTGCCAAAACAGAATGGGTGAACACAATGAAAAGCAACAAAAAGATGAAACAAGGACAAAACAACATGAAAAGCAAGCAATGTCAGCAACAGAACAAAACACTGGAACAGAACATGACTGGAAACCTGGTGAACTTTACAAATCTACTTTTAAAAATTAATATATATTGGCTGGCAGCTACAAGAGCTACAAGACTGTGAGAACAGTAAGCTATGAGTGATATAAATAGAGCATCACCTTTGATAATCTTCAATTATAGACTATTGGCAGTGAGAAAATATTCAAGTGAAACACAGCAAGAATTACCCAGTGTTTGTGTTTGCACAATGTTAAAAAATCTAATGGTGATACTAATTCAACTTCTAAGTTTTCTACCACTATACACAGACAAATAAAACCAGAAGTGGACATGTAGGTACACAGAAGTACATGCATTACCCACACGTAGTCACACAGAGGAAAACATATACCTGACATCCCTGTAATGGTGATCTGTGGACTGGGTGTACCGGGAACGAGGTAAAGTAACATAATGACTGAGGTGATGGCAGAAAGAAAAATACAGATATGAGACAATAAGATGGAGAAGTAATGATGCACAACACAAAACAGAAAATATTATAATCTAAGAATTAGAATTAACAGGAGCTACAATGCAATGTTTAAGAGCACTGGACTTATTAACAAAATAATATGATAAATGGTTCTAAAGATAAAATTATCTAGATGATTCACATGTTTACTCTGAGAAGCCAGTGGGAGATTATGGATCAAGAAGATAGCTAAAATGTTGGATTTTCTACAGTATTTCAATTAAGAAGAAAAAAATGCAAAAAATAAAGAATTCAGATTGCCTATTCCTTTTTTGGAGGCAGTCGTAATTTTAGTTTTAATAATATCTTTGAAAGAGATTTACCTAATCTGTCTGAAAGGCTACCACCATTTGGAAATCTGTCCTCACATAGCTCCAGAGCTTTCTCATTTCTAAGTGATAGTTCTCCTAATACTGATCATATTGTGACGAAATGTGAATTTAGAGATATAACATCAATACCAGAATAAGCCAAAAAAACCCAAATGCAATTCAAAATAATAAAACTAAGTTATTTGAATTTTGTTTGTCTCATGAAATAATGTTAAAATTTATTCATTTTAAACATATTTTTACACTAGATATTCTCCAATTATTAAAAATATAATAAATTAATTTTAATATAAATAGATGCACACAATACAGGGAAAAGGGTTTGGGGAAAAGAGAAGTTTATCATTAACAAAGAGTTACTGATTACAGTTTTCCTGAAGCTGGGATATTTCAAAGGAAAGTCTAATCACAACTGTCTACTCTGGAAGTCTAAACTGACTTCACAAAAAACATGGAAATCCTCTTCCTTCATTTTTATTTCTCATCTTTTAATTTGCTCATGATTAATGTTTTTCCAGGAATCAAACACATTGTTACTAGTAGGTATATTACCTACACATATTTTTTGCATGAGGATAAAAATGCACCATCACCCACATGAAAATATTCCTTATATTAGGTCAATTATATATAGTAGATGTCTTTGTGTTCACTGCTATCAAAAAAAATGCAAAAGAGCACTTTTTTTTGCACACCACTATAAAAAACTAACTTAAATATCTGATTATGCAGATTGTTACAAGAAAGGAGAAGCTGTACACAATTTTTAGGGCCTAATTTGACATGGTACAGTTAAAATTTGAAGAAGGACTAATAATTATTAAAATAGTCATCAATTTTACTTTGCAAGCTGCAAAAAACAATGAATGTTTTTAAACTAATGTAAAGACCTATGTATCAAAAGCAGTCTACCCATAACAGCCTGTCAGTCAGCATGCTGTCAAGAAACATTAAGAAAAAAGTTCACCACATTCTTAAAATTTTCTTTGAAATATATGCATACCCACAGGAAGAACAATCAGATAAAAATGTAGGAGTCTACCCCACAGGAGCTAAATGGACAAGGATGGCAAACAGCTGCACACCAGTTTATTCTCTCCCCCACATGGATACATTTCCAGGCTACATCCACATGAACATGCCTTTAAATTATTCAGATGCAACCCTGGAATTAACACCTCAAAACTCTTGCTCTAGTATTAATAAGCAATTAAAAGTCTCCAGCTGATATTTACATTTTAATTTTAACAATTCATTTTTCCTTTTATCTTCCCAGTGAACCGCTGAGAAGTTTTCTTGATAGTCTTTGAAAAATGTATGACATCAATAAGCACAATATATTTAACCATTATTTAAAAACCTATGCCTTAAACAAAACTAGGACTTCAGTAAGAACTTTTTTTTTCAGAACATGAATTCCATGGAAATCCACCTGCTCTTTGCAAGTAGATTACTAGTAAGTAATCTTATGGACAGTAGCCCATAAGAAGGAACACCCCAGACTGTTCACTTATTTGTATGTGAATGAGACACCATCAGTCCATGTTCTGCTTAGAAAAGTCCCAACAACTTTTCTTATCTCCACCAAACTATGTTGATTGTCGAACTTCTGGTGTCACATTTTGTTCTAATAGTTCTGGAAACTCAGAACTCCAGTGTCCTTAGCAAGTTCTGGGGATTTTTCTTAGGAATTTCTGGCAGGCAGTTCTTTTCCCTTCTATCTTTTTTTTTAAATTCAGTTTATGATTTCAGAATCAGAGTATGACAGCATTTAGATAGCATTTAGATACAGGCACTTATACAATTTGATATACAATAACTTGTAACAAGTTTAAAATAAGTTCCCTCATCACTCAGAACCTTGCTTATCTATACATAGGAGTAGGGTTAGCTTGAGCTTATACTTGACCTGGCCCTCTGGAAATACTGGCTATTCATACTTTTCCTTTTTTCTCAGAGCCCATGTTAACCATGCTATCTAACTTGACAGAATCATACAATCACTATCAAAGATCATCAAACCCAGCCTTTGACAAAATACTACTATGCCCACTAAACTATATTGGAAAGTGCCACTTTTACTGATTTTTTTGACACTTCCAGGAATGATGACTCAACCATTTCCCTGGAGAGTGTGTTCCAATGCATAGACTCTCCTTTCTTTCAGTGAAAAAATATTTCTTTATATCTGACCTGATTCAATATGCAGAGCTAAATGCTTAAACCATCCTTCCTCTGAGCATCCAGCCAATACCACACTAGTTGATTTTCCACCATTAAATATAATACATTTTTATATAATTGGGTAAAATTATGCTTTATGCTTTTATAAATATGCTAGCAACACCAAAAATGCCTATGATTTATTCTTAATGTCCAATACTGAAACATACACCACATTTATTTGGTCGATCCCCAGTATAAACCACTTCAAATAATAAAGTGAATGTATTATAATGTAGTAAAAACTTAAGCTTTACTTTGCCCAAGTGCAAAAGAACTCCAGTAATGTTCCAGATCTCCAACTTATTTAAATATATAATTTGAGCAGTTAATGAAAGTCATTGCTCTATATGCACATATAACTTTCATATACCTTTTTTCCTTCTTTTTTTTTTTTCAACCTTGCTTTAGATTTCTAGCCTCTTATCATACATTCTTTATTTCCTACTTTATAGTTGTCTATGGCAGAAGAATGTCCACATAGGTTTTTCAATATGGTCATAATTATGCACACACACACCCACACCCATCCCCTTCCACACTGTAGCAGGTGAAAAGATATTTCCACTCTTCTGACAAGAAGATTCCAGGTATATAAGTACATGAGATAACTTTCCTTTTTTTAAAGTGAACAGAAAATTACTTACAATTTTTCTGATATTGCTCACCTATTTGTACATTTTATTAAAATTCAGTGAACCATTAAGGTAAGAAAACAGAAATCAGTGATTCAGCAACTGATTAGATTGTCAAATTGGAAGTCTTTAGTGTCCAGGACCAGGCTTAACATACCACAAGAGTCTCAGAAGCACACTTGAAAATACTCACACACAGAGTACCTCACTTGAGCTTCATGGAATAACTTTCTGTTCTTTCTATACAAGGGGAATTTATCCTGTTCTCTATTGCTTGGGATATTTTATTATATAGTAAAGAAGAGGCATTTGGGAGATAATTTATTCCTTTCAATTTTCACTCTCTGTGACCAGATCCTAGAATTTGATTGACATTCCAGCATCCCTACTAAAGTGGGCAGTAGACTCATAAGAGTTTTTGTGGAAAGGCTAAAGTACTGTGTATTACACCCCTGTGCTCACTGGAATATCTATAAATCTGAATGCAAAACAAGTCTTTGTGTTCTTTTCTGTTAGAGCCTGCATTAAGGAAACTCTGACACCAGTAATTTCTCTTACCCTATCACTGTTTTTCTATTCCCGTATTCAGCATTTTCGAGTGTATTATCTGATTGCAATTAAAGCAATATATTGTATCACTGGCAATAGTATTATCCTCTATTTTTATTAACACTCCTTTACGTTTTTTTCAACTGAAATAACAAATTCAATGTATGAAAAGTATAAAATTATTTAAATTGTTAAAAAAGACATGTTGCCTTTAACCAAATACTCCCCAATTTCTCAAGTTACAATTTTCTGAAAAACTAGCAATGTGTTAAAATAGAAATCAGCTTAATCAGACTGCAGAGTAAGAAACAGGTGGTAATTGGGGTCAATCAGTTGTAAATTTAGGGGGGATAGAGTCATTGAAAGTGGTAGAAAAGAGAAAGCTGCCATATGAAATTCAGGAAAAGTACTGTGGGAAGGAATAAAGTAAAAAAAAATGTGCTTGGGACCACACTGACTGTGAGGTTGAGCACAGAATTCTTCAAGGGAAAAGGAGATGGGAACCAATAAAATGATGTGGATTCAGAGAAAAGGCTCTATGAGCAGCTTACTCATTTCAATAATGGAAACTACTTCAGCTAGTTACTTTTTCCAGGGTCCAGTTATACCATTCCAAAAGATTATATTCTCATCTGAATAAAGCAACAGTTAATATTCTCTGTGATAGAATGTTTTCCATGCTGCTTCTCATGCACCTGGCAAATCACACCAATAAGCCATGTGAGTAAAATGTGAAGTCAAGCTCTTAACTCTTAGAAAATGTCAGATGCCATTCAAGAATAAAGCACTGGTTATGTAATTTCCCCTGCTACACTTAACTGAATACATTAATAGAATAGTTTTATTTAAAAATTGTGTTTTTAAAGAAAAAAAATTATTTTCTTTACTTATAAACATCAACAATTTTTCCACCAATAATGGTATGGATGCTTTTTGTTACACTGATTGTATAGAAATTTCTGCTAATCTCCTGGGATAGATGAAATCCTGGAAATGTTCCATCTGAATGTAACTGCCAATTTGAAGACTTCAGTTGTGAAACAATAGCAATTATCAGCAGAGAATTTGTGAGCTGACACACAATCAATCAAGATGACTTTCAATAAGAAAATCAGTATCACATTATCACAGTGCTCCCCATAATGCATTTTAAATCATTGCTCCAAAGATGCAACACTGAAGTCTTTTATCAGAACTGCATTAT